TGTACACCTCAAAGTTCCTCTTGAAGAGAGTTTTCCGATGTTGGGGAACTCTCCAATTGGCTTTCTTGATCTCAAGATGTGTAGATATAAAGAAAAAAGATAACTTCGAGTATAAATAGTGCATCTTGTAACAAGTTATTGGACTTTATATTTTCAAGATTTTCAAGTGTTTATAGATTTATTTTATTTGTACTGAAATTTTAAATTTTTAGTGAACATAAAAATCTCGTTTATCGAGTGGAAAGGACACTCATGACCATGTATTTTCTTTAAACCATATGATCATAGTATATTTTTCCTATTACTTAACAACTTTGATCTATATTATAACAACAATTTTAAATTTTCTTGCATGGTCATTAACATTGTTCTTTGTTGTAAATCGTTTTAAATCTGTGTAAACGAATGTTTGGAGCACTTGGTCAATTGTTGCGGAAGAGGTTCAAATTCCTACTCGTATGGCTAAAAATATTGGTATAAACACAAAATCTTAGGCCCAGTTTGGATGCTAGGCCGAGTTTGGACCATACCCATAGGGATTTTTTTTTAATCTTGGTAATTCAGTCAGAATGGGCTGCCTACCCCCTTGATAAGAAGGGAACTCAAGATGTTATGGCACTTTACATCTTAACCGCCTAATGTTGAATCTATTATATTTCCTTTGGGTAGAAATAGTCTCCTTTGTGATCACCGTTGCCCAGGATCGATTCTCATAGATATTCTTCGTAGGATTATTATGCTATTACAAAGGGGAAAATAAGTGTTCCTCCCAGCCTATAGACCGAATAGTGTGGCCCAAGCCTAGGTTGTTTAGGGCTAGGCCCACTGGGACTCCAAGCTCAACGCTACCCTTGTATCTTATTACAAATCCAGTTTAATTAATGGTCCATCCAAACTGAGCCTTAATTATGATTGCCTTCTCAATTTACAATTTATTTTCCAAATCTGTATTTTTACAAAATATATGGCGTATGCATACTTTTTATATTCATCACACTGTCTCAATACCCTATTTATTAGGAGATGTGAGTTGGTTCAAGTGAGGCTAAAAAAAAGGAAATGGGGTAGTCTTAAAAAGACATAATTCGATGTGACGAGAAAAAATATGAAGATTTATAGTCTCGCTGTAGATATGATGTTTAAATAAAATAGAACGGAGGAGCAGAATTTGTGTGGATACCCTCGAATAATTTGCGTAGATGCCTTTAAAAAAGGGTATGTTGATGATATTGATGCATACATTTTCTGTATTTACCTCTCTTGGGTCTTCTTCCGCCTCTCTCTGTCTCTCTCCTCAATGGAAGTGCGCTCCACACAATTTTTTCCCCTCAATTATTGAATTCCTGAGTCAACTCTGGGGGCCTTGACGGCTTAAGACCTCAACTAGTAAACCACACCATATGAGCTTTAATGTAAACTTAACCACAAATATAAATGGGAAGATGCACAAAATATATTGTATTCTTTAAAGTTGTGCACTTCCCAAATTGACCTAGATGCAAAAGAACACCAAAGGGAAAAATCTTATTTATTTTATCTCAAAATTGTTCTCCCTTTGTAGCTATGCAACCTCTTCTCACCCAAATTTCGCTACCCATTTCTTTACCCTTTTCATCTCTTGGATGCATGTTTGTTTTGTTTTCTTTTTTTTTCTTGTAACAGTTGACATAATACATGTTGATCCTCATAATTATGCACACCGCACTTGCTATTCGCATTAATAAAAAAAATTTAACTTACAATTATGCAGAATCAAGGGCAATCACCAATTACATAGCACACAAATACAAGGAACAAGGCACAGAGTTGGTCGGAACCGATCTCTCGGAAATGGCGGTCAATGCTGTGTGGATGGAGGTTGAGTCTCACCATTTCGATGGTCCCTCCTCAAAGCTCGTATGGGAACTCTGCGTGAAGGCTATGCTCGGAATACCAGTCGATGAGACAGTAGTTGAGGAGGCAACCGGCAAACTAAACGAAGTCTTGGACGTGTATGAATCCATGTTAGCGAAGAAGAAGTATCTTGGTGGTGATAAGTTCAGCCTAGTAGATCTCCACCACTTGCCCAACATTCGCTACGTTATGCACACATCGAAGGCTTCGCTCTTTACTTCACGCCCGCACCTGAGTGCGTGGTGGTCGGACATTTCTTCTCGCCCTGCTTGGACAAAGGCTGTGGCGCTCTCTGATGCGGTCATACCCAAGAAGGCTTAGAGGCTTAGGATGCAATAAAATGAAAACAAATCTCTCAATTTACTTCATTTCACTTCCTTTTTGTTTTGCTATGACTGATCGTTTTTTTTGGAGAAGGCCTTAGTGCTTCATTTTGGTTGTAATGCTCGAAGAATAAATTTTGTTTTGTGTCGATGCTTTTTGTTAAAGCTCTATTGGTATGGTGATTATAATGAAATGCATTATCCGATGTGCGAGGAAATGGTTGTAAGTTTAATCCCACGTTCAAAAGATTTGGTTTGGTTATTGCGTTTTATAAATTGTGTTAGCCTGACACGGACGTATGGATCCTTGTTATTAGGATTGGATGGGCCACAAAATTAGTGAGATGTCTAATCTTGTCGAATTCATATGATTTGATTTTAAAAATATTAATAAAAATATGGATAATAATTTAAAATATGTTATATATCAAAAAAAGAAAAAGTTTATATAAAGTTATAATTTAAAAATGTAGAATTAAAGATGCACTTTAAAAATCCATTGAAAATGATTGTTTTAACATTAAAAAACTTTTTAATTGATTATCCCGACATCAAGATGAATGAATATGAACAAAAAAAAAAAATATTGAGTTTAAAAAATAATGCATCTTGTAACATATTATCTACACGATTTATTTGATTTTGGCCATTTTTGAAGTTCAAACTTTTATAATTAGAAATGAAAATAGATTTTAAGATTATTTTAAGAATTTTTTACACCAAAATTATATGTTAAAATTTTAAGGTTTGCCTTAATTGGATTGTTTAAGGTTGCAACCTTGTAAAAACCGCACTCATTAAAAAAAAGTTGTTCATTTCAACCAGTCAAATATTAACTAAGTCATCCGTCTGATCAATAAAACCACCGATCTAATCCAGTCTTGATACACCGATCTAGTCCGGTCTTGATAACTATGGACCTAGCTCCCCTGGTTATCATGTCCTTTTTAATGCATTTTATTTGGGTGAAAGGATTAGCATGGCAAGGTGTTTTATCTAAAAACTTCTTGCTCAAAAGGAATATGGCAAGGACGCAATTGTAAGTCAAACGACTCTCTCATGGGCAAAAACAACTTTTAATTTGTGGACAAGTGAATTTTGAGTGATCTTCTTTGATATCTGGATTGAGGACTGGTGTGATGTTGGTGGACAAGTGGGCTCCATCAATTCAATTGATATGTTACTATATACCTTTTTTGTTTTTTTTGTTTTTGGACAAATGTTACTAATTATTACTGAAAATCAAATATTACAAAGGCTACAAAGGGTAAACTACTGGCCTCCCCATAAATGTGGAGGAAAGAAACTGACACGGCTCCACTAAATCCAGGATATGCAAACATAAAGATTTGAGTTTCTATAATACTTTTTGTTTGTTCTTACACTATCGTATTACATTAAAAGAGTCTCCTTCAATCACACAATAATTTTCCAAATTTTTACTAATAAAGATCTTCAAACCATTAAGGAGTGAAGATGACTGCCCCATTCCAACCTTGCACAACCCCTCCAATCCTAGCCAAACCTGGATTGTCAAAAGAATTCCCACCAAAATTTAGTTTGGACCCACCCACATCAGGCGGAACCCAAACAGATCTAGGCCGACTCCTGATGAACTTCATTCTATAGAGATTTGCTAGATTCAAAGAAATTACCACCTCAGACACACCCCACCCTTCTTTCCTTACTACCAACCAACACCATAGTGCTGCCAACCAACACCATAGTGAATGCTTGGTATTGTTAAGAATATCTCAAATAGCAAACTCACCCCCTCAAAGGTTCTCTTATTTTTTTCTTCCCACACAATCACACCACACCCCTAAACCAAGACCAAATTCTTGGAACAAACTCACAATGCAAAAAGAGGTGTGCCTTTGCCGATCATGAAAAAGCAAAAAGTAGATTGACTTAACAGGAAAATTACCATCGACCTCAATCTCCCAAATAAGCTCGTCAGGGGCAAAATCCGAGGGATATAAGTTTTATTCAGTTATTCCATAAGTGCAACTAGGCTAGAAAAAACTTCATCATTTACCCCAAGGGCCACATTCCATATAACTTGATTTCCTCTAACTTCTACGAGATATGATACCTTCCCATATAGGTGAACCATCTTATCGAAAATATCCGGAAAAAATCAGCTGTAGTGCCAAGTTGCCAAACCACTTCTGATGTTGTCCAAAAAAAATAGACCTGTTTTTAATGCCTCTCCATTTATGTGAACCATCTTATCGAAAATATCTGGAAAAAATCAGCTGCAGTGCCAAGTTGCCAAACCACTTCTGATGTTGTCCAAAAAAAAATAGACCTGTTTTTAATGCCTCTCCCACTCCCAATAAACATCCCATGCCGGTATTTTCCCACTCCCAATCAACATCCCATGCCTATCAACACGGTATTTAGCCAGTAAAAACTGACAGCTGCCAAACCACTTATGATGCTCTCCAAAAAAAATAGACCTGTTTTTAGTACATCTCTCACCCCAAGTCACATCCAATGCTTGTCAACTGTATTTAGCAAGCAAAACCTGGAATCAAAGTTGATTTTTAAAATGAGGACTCGCCACCACCATCATTTATATAACCCGGCTTTGATTAATAATCCATATCTTTTTAATACCCAATCCACTTTCACTCTTGAGGGTACCTACCCTGTTCCACCTTAGAAGACGAATTTTTTTTCTATATTCAAAAAACCCCTCAAGTAAGGTCTCGTCTAAAAGCATTATTAGGACCCTAAAGTTTAAGAATATAACATCTTCAACCAAGTGATTAGTTATAAAAAGGAGCTAAAATAAAACTGCGTGAGTTATGTACAAGGTGTCGATCTTATATTATATAAATAATGTGCACTTCTATATTTTAAGAGAAAATGTAGTTTCAGTGCTGAAAACCATACAATGGCAGCTTAAAAATCCATGTCTAATCCTAATTATGAAATTTAAAATTCTCAAAATTGCTTATTAAAGTATATAGCCGCTAATACCTAAGAATGTTCAAGAATGATGGTCCAGATAACATGTTACAAAACTCATTATTTTTAACATTTGAAATTCTTTTGTTTTCTTCATATCCATGCATCTCAAGTTCGAAATGATCACTGGAAGGTCTTCCAACTGCGGACCACCTTTTTCTACTGATTTTTTATGTGTACTTTACTTTTGCAATACAATATTGCAACTTACATAAACTTTTTCCAATAAAATTATAGGTATTCTTCAATGCCAAAAAAATTAATATCCTCATATTAAATAGCGACCATCCAGGTCAGATCAAGTATTTACGTATTCATAATCGAACTTTTTTGTTTGGGATACTCATATGTGGTTCTAATATGGATCACAGTATTTCACATTAAAAAGTCTTTCTTAATAGTACTTAGATCTTTTATTCTATGGAGTAAATATTCAATTATGAGAGTACTTGTACTGCGTTTATAGTTCATTTTATTTATATTATGTTTTGGAAGGACACGAAGAACTAAAAATATTTAAAAGAAAAATATCATTAAAGGGGTTAAAACCCCTCGTACTATTATAAAAGGGGTCAAAAAGTCCCAATTTACATTAGAGGCATACTTTATAATTCTCATTTAACGTAGGTATCTCCTTAAAAAATATTTTAAAAATGCTCAAATTACCTCAAGGTTTGGAAGCTTGAGTAAGCATAGACATTTTTGTAATTTGACCTACTTTAAATAAGTAGGTATAGTCTCATTATTCGGTCGGGGTGGGTCGTGCCCGCCATGCCCCAAGCTTGGCCCCAAGTCCCTATAGGATCAGCCCGGTCAAGGCCAACGGCCAAAGGGCCCAATTGGCCTAGTCCTGAAAGTATAATACTTTCCCTATTTAACACACATTTAACTATTGGGAGGTGATGTTAAATTACCACCCTATGTGGTATTTTTCACTATGGTGAGGGGTATAATTGTCACTAAAAAATAAGTTTTTTTAGTAGGGCTTATAAAAGGTTTTTCTAGAATGAGAAACGTAGAAAAAAAGGGTGTGAACTCTTTTGTGGAGAAAAGGGAGCTTGTAGAGAAGATTGGGGGTTGGAAATTGGGGGTCTTGCAACAAAACCCTAGCACCACCATTTGGGACTCATATTGGGTCATTTTGTCAATATTTCTTCGCGGCATCGGTTAATCGAAGAAATGAGTCGATTGTGGGTGGTTTCATGGTAGGAAGCTCTTTGTTTGAGCATTCCTTGATATTGTATGAGGTAACTCTGTATAACCCCAATCTTGTAAGTTTTTCTCTTGATAGTGAGTACACATTTACCGTCTTGCCCGTGGACGTAGCCTATCTTGGGTGAACCATGTATATATGTGTATCCCTCTCTACTTTCATTTGTATTGTGCTTTGATGATTTCCCATATTTGCTTGTTTTGATGCTTTTATATTTTTTCTAATTATATTGTACTTGTTATTATATCTTGGGCATGTTATTTGAGTGTTAAAATCATTGTGGTGTAGTGCTAACTATATCTAATGGGATTCGAGATATCCCGATTTGATCAAAAATGGGTGATTGGGTTATCTCGATATTACAACAAGTAGTATCAGAGCTCAAGAAATTAGTGTAGTATTTTTGGGAAAATGACATCTCACAACTTCGAGGTAAAAAAGTTTAATGGGAAAGATAATTTTAAAATTTAGAAATTAAAAATACAAGATTTATTGGTACATCAAGAGCAACACAAAACATTACTTAGAAAAGGATAAGAGACCAGTAAATATGACCAATGATGATTAGGACAAACGCGATATGAAGGCACGAGCCACTATTCACTTGTGTTTAGCGAATGAGATTTTGTTTAATATTATTGGTGAAAAGACGGCAAAAGATTTGTGGAAAAAATTGGAAATTTTGTATCAAACAAAATCGCTCACAAACCAAATTTTCGTAAAGATAAAATTGTATACCTTGATAATGAAAAAATGTGCAAATATGTCGCAGCACCTGAATGAATTTAATAACCTCATGAGTATCGGTG